ACCCATGTGCTGTACTTGATAACGGACGGTAAATTTCACCTACACATTATTTTTATTTAAAAAAAGGTCGGATTTTATCCAGACACAATATAATACAGTTTGAGACGCCGGCTCCATTTCCAGATGAAGACTGACGGATTTAAGTTGTTTGCAAACGTATCACAAATATTGAGTTACTTGAGCAGTTTTATTCTCCAAAAATTGATCGGGATTGGCCCTTTAACATATCAAAATATTAGATGTAATCGCCCTTCTTGGATTCAATCGGAATAAATGATGATCGTTAAACCATTTTACCTAACACTTATAGGTGGCGCTGGCTTGTTTATCTCGTCTTTAGTTCATTGTATCTTTGTAAATACTGAACGGAATTCAAATATTTTTGGACTGATATTACTGTTAGAGTTTAAACCTTGAATATAGATTGAAGACTAATAAAAATAATTGCTGTCAGAACCGTCCTAAATTTTTAACAGATTTCTTCGATTATGAACAAAGTACTTTATTGTAGTTGTGATAAACTTTCCTATGTGTTTGAAATCACCTCTAGTTAAATAAAATCCACTGTAGATTGAAATATTCTAGCGAATAATAAAGTCATCTCTTGAGCTCGAAGCCCCAGTACAAATTTGAAACAATTATACTTATATTATAGTTAATGTAATCTCCAAATATAACAAATATTTGTCAAAACAAAAATTTACTCTTGAGTTGATATTTTTGCTTTAATGTTAAAGAAAACAAACTATGGTATATAATGAATAAGTTTTAATATGTAGATACCCATTGTGATTTAAAAAGAGAACCGTGTCTCAGATTATTATGAGATATATTTACATAATAAAAAAATCATGTTTTGTTAAAGTCGTCTTTTGGTTTGTCTGTATATAAATATTGTTGAGTAATTTGTTATTGGGTGACATTAGATTTTGTTGTTTACACGAACAATCCCTGATTAGATTAAAGGGGTCACTGAATATCGGATTTCTCCTTTAAAGGAGCTAAACTTCTAACTAATTATTATCCATAATTTCAACATTAAACATGTTGCTCCTTTTTAATCGATGTTGATGTTGTTACCTCTTACCTTGATGTCCAATATTTTAGGCACAATAAATATTTAAAGGAGCTAAATCGCTAATATTTGGGCCCTAGAAATTGACACAAATGGGCCGCAACGCATATAATAATGTAATACGAATGTATATAAACTGATTTACATTCAATCGTTTATGTTTTACTGTAATTTCTAATCAATTATGTTCGGCGAAATACGACAGAAGTCTCAATGGAATGGCAATCTCCAGCGTCTGGTTATTCCAGTCTACGCTGATAATAATTATTGCGCATGTTCTTCAGATAAGAATATGACGTCACCGTTTAACATGTCTTGTGAAATATATTTAGCCTCGTTCTTCAAGTCCCTCGTGTACCAATGGAAAGATGTTTATTTTCTCTTAAATATTGGATATTAGAAGCCAATCTTTTCCCGGTAAGATCACAACATCAATGTTGATTTAAATTGACAACACGAATTATTTGTCAATTCAAATCAACATTGGTCTTGTGATCTTACAGGGAAAAGATGAGCTTCTGATATCCAATATTCAAGACAAAATAAACATTTTACCATTGGTACTCGAAACATGTACCATAATGCGTTTCAACATCATTTGGAAGAAGGGACTCAAAGAACAGGGCTAGACATATTCCACAATTCATGTCAAATGTGACGCAATATTCTTATCTGGAGAGCATGCGCAATAAATACCATCGGTGTAGACTGGAAATCACATGAGTCTTTTGGCGTATTTCGCCGAACATAACGGATTAGAAATTAGAGTAAAAACGGAAACGATTGAATGTAAATCAGTTTATATACATTCATATTACATTATTATATGCGTTGCGACTAATTTTTGTCAATTTTTATGTCCCAAATATTAGCGATTTAGCTCCTTTAAAATCAGTGAACGACGCCGTTTTGTCTACGGTCGCGGGTACCATTTGTAATGAGGTGCTTTGATGGACGAGGTAAAACACATCTGTTAAATGTCAACCCGTACTCCCGATGTAGACTGAATTAAACAGATTGAAACAATTCCTATTCAAATTGGACTTCTCATGTATTTCGCCGAGCATAACTGATAAATAAAAATTATATTAAAAAAATTAAAAAATAAATTTTAATCACTTTATATACATTTATATTGCATTCGACTCATTTTCGTCCATTTTAGACTTCCAAAGAATAGAGATTTAGTTCCTTTAAATAGGACAGTGAAAACAGATCTAAGATGTTTATTAAGCATGGAATAAACAATATTTTTCTCCATGAACCACTAAAACGCACGAGACAACACAGGCCTATACAAGTCTACATGACGTAGTATAACAAACCCTGTAGTGTCTGGTGGTATGTAAAACGACAAACGGTGGTCATTTTAAAACAGTTAAACCGAATCTCCATTCCCTAAAACTCGTCAGCCGATAGTTACGACCTATTTTATGGGGGTTCTTTTTTTTATAAACTTATCTGCTTTGACATATCTAAGAGTTAGATAGGGCAGACAGACACTTGAGTCTCCAAAAATTAATTCATAGCTCATTTCGATTATTTTTTAAAGAGCACACCCACAAAATCCGTATAGCTTTGTTCAACAATCATTATGGTCAACAGTTTCTGGGCGTATCATCTTCGACCCAGAAACAGATTATAGCGGAGACGGCAGACTCCAAGCCGAAATATTTTTGGAAAATTTTCAAAAAGAAAACGCCGACTTCGGGGAGAAAACTTGACATGGACCCCTTCAGACAAGGCCCCGAGTCCTGTTGAGGGGCCCCTGGGTTCAAGAAAAAGGCCCCGAATCGGGAAAAAGTGCCAAGTGTAAACCCAACCCCACCCTGTCTGTGTCCAGTCGAAAGGCACACGAATCTTCAAACAAATTTCTCCTCCCATAAAAATACTCCTTATTCATTACAATTAAAATAAATTTTCACTCAATCTCAGGAGGTCCTCCCGCGGGCACCACTCTCCAATTAGAATCCTACATCTGTATCGAAAATACTTTTTTTGCACACAAAAATACCTATTGCTCGGTAACCGTGCAATGGTGAGTAAAGCAAAACCTTGCCAAAGAAACTGTGTGGTATGAATAAGTTTCCCATGTTATTAGTATCATGTATTTCACCTCTGTATATATTTTTGCCATTCTTTAGGTACAATCAATAATTCGCCCCTGTTTTCTCGCAATGGCGAATATAAATGAAGGTCCAAATTTTCTGGACCAACCGGGATAATATAGACGGGTATGGTGCGTACAGTTGGCTACCTTTAACTGCCAAAAGTTATTTAACGTGTTTACGTGGCACCTCTTTTTCGTCCCATCCGAATGATTCGATGCTATTCCTTGTCAGGCCTCCGTCATGTACCATTGTTAATGGGAAACCACACCGGAAAATTCCGATGATCTTTCTCGGCCAACACGAAAACGGAATCTCGAAGAAGAATAGCTGATGGAATTGTCTTTCATCATATTTGTCCCCCTGTTTGCGCAGGCACAGGTCTTGCTGTACCTACCGCGTTTTCTGGTGGTGGTAAAATAATGCCTTATCCATCGTTAAAAAATTCGATGGGGATAACGGTTTAATAATATTATTTGTCAGATATGGACTCCAGGTTCAAGGGACGGTGCTTGATTATCTACTCTTCTTCGACCATAAAAGTCAACAACGACCCAGCCGTTAAACTTTGTCGATGTTAGACCTTCATAGAAGCGAGACGCATGCGAAACACTGTGAATGAAAGTGGTGCCACAATCCAAAATAAGTCTTATATCCATTTTAGCTTTGTTTAGTTCGATTTATGATCCAAGGTTCTGGCTGCAACAATCCTCGACAACAAGTGAATGGTCCCAGCTCATCAATAAGTAGTCTGTTGTCCTCACAATTAAAACTTCTATTAGTATTTGCAGAAGAATCGCACTGCACGCAAAGCGGAAAAGACACAAGAAATAAACAATGAGAAGATACTCGAACCGTATCCCTTCATCCCTTCTGGAAGGTTTAACCCTCCTCGCCTTCCATAACCTCTTATAGTTTACACGCTTCAATATTTAGTGTCGGACAACATATAGTGTATCCATACAATACTACATTGTCTACAGCTGGGGTTAACTGGTTTGAAATACAAGGTGTACCTATAACTGAGGCGACCATAGCGTAGACGAAGATGAAAGTCGAACAGGTATATGTGACAAGATTTGAAAGCTTGATTAAGTGAATCTAAACAGCAAACATTTTCCTTTCTTATGTAGCGAACTAAGCTTCTATGTCTACTTTACTGCTAAAACGTTGGCATCCTTAACGAAAGGGGTTGGTGTTTAGTATAGTGCAAAAATTCATTTTTTTCATACAGGGAATCAGAACCAGCTATATTACCAGGATTGTTCTGGGTTGCAACCTGATGCCATTACTCCGCAATTTACTAATATCAGTTAAAGATATATTCCAAGACGCCCCCGTTTTAATTTACTGCAATACCTGCGTGTACCTATTTATATTTTCGATTTCTGGCAAACAACGGGATAAATGATTTGAATAAAATATGATACATTTGTTCAGCTCACAAATTTTGGACATCCTGGGCATCTTTTATCTACTGGGATTTCAACCTAATATGATGTTCATGCCACTGGGAGGTGTTCATTTTAGATCCAACAACGTTCTTGGTGCATCCAAGCCAATTCTACCAATTCTACAGAGAATGAAGCCACGACTGACAGTTACTCTGATAACGTCACATCCGAATTTGTTTAATGAAAGGTATGATAAACATACAACGACTGGACTTCTTTGTATCTCATTACGAATTTGGGATTGCCCAAAGGCTGGTGGTTCCTTTGAACTGTTTATTGTCTGAACAAAAATGCGCCGTTGTTTGTCAATATCCCTAATGCTTGACCGAATCCCCAATTATATTACCAAAAGACTTGAAAAAATAAAACATAAATATATTTATTATTCAACAGAGTGTGAAATATACAAAACAGTTTTCAACAAGCATAAAATTTAACAAAACAACAAAATGCACACGTGGGTTGGCCATGATTTTACGAAACAGATTACTAAAATCACAAGACTATAAAGCATCAATATTAATATAGTAATAATTGAAAAATGCAAAAAAAATAGTAAGTTTACAAATTTTTAAAAATGGAAATGGAGACTTTTCTTAAAATTTGTGATTCTGTAGTTTTAATATTTTTACAAACTGAACTGTGTGATACTATAAAATTATAGAATTGGCGTAATAAAATAATAATAATTCATAAAGGTTTTTTAAAAATAAAACAAAATGTAATTCTGTAGTGCTTATGTGTTTACAAACTTATAATATACGACATTTAGAGGTTCATTTATAGGACGGATATAGTCATTAGGACAAATATTAATCAAACCAGCGGTTGCCAGGCAAGATACGCTCACATTTTGCAACAGATGGGTAGAGAACAAGCTAAAAAAAAAAAAACCCAAAAACCCGCGATGTTTAGTACAATCAGGGGCTATAATCCAAAAAGTTATGGATGGTCTGATATGCGCGAATATCGAAAGGAACACAACCATCATTATGGACACATATTTTAAGTTTTATCAAAATCGAACAAAATTTTGACCTCTAGAGGGCCCACAAGCTTCGTATTACATACTTTTACACTATTTGCGTACAAGGAACGACCTTTTTGCTGAGCAGTTTCATTATGGTGTAACGGTTTTTAAATTCGGATAAAAATTGTGGCCTCTTGAGGGACGACAAGCTAAAAATGCGACTTTTCGTACAATCAGGCGCCATATTCCAGGAAGTTACAGTCTGATATGCACGAATATCAAAAGGAACCGACATCTTTGGCTTATAAATATACATTTCTAGTTTCATCAAAATCGGATAAAAATTGTGACCTCTAGAGTGTTCACAAGCTAAAAGCGTGCTTTTTCGCACAGTCAGGAGCCAAAATCCATAAAGTGACGGTCCGATACATGCTAATATCGACAGGAAACGAGATATTTTATTTTGATTAATTTTAAGTTTCGTCAAAATCGGATAAAAATTGTGACCTGTAGAATGTCCACAAACAATTTGTGGACGGACGGACGGACAGACAGGGGCGACATTAAAGTATGGACGGAGTATCATAAAGTTATAGTACATAACAAGTAAATTACATATAAAATACATCATAATATGTAGAAATGCAATAATTAAAGCATGTCTAAAATAATACAGTATAATAGGTTTATTTTTACTCACTTCTACTTCGAATTACGAAAATAATTCACATTCTAAATTTAGAGTAATTAAATATGTATAGAAAGGCCCCATCGTAATATTACACGTGACATTTATATATAATATAAAATAACCAGAAAATGTTATGATACGAAAAATCGCGCTTTTTACAATGTCGATTGTCTCCCCTGATCGCAGATCCGAATTATCATTTTTAACTATGTATGCCTTCTTTTACTCAACTTGTATCGCACTAATATATCCCAATCGTCAGCTAATATGGGTTTACTTTAAGAGTTAAAACGACGTGCCGTAGCTTGTACAGTATTTGATAAACTGTCGCTATCGTTACCCATTTTGATGATGAAAAGTGGGACTTTAAACCTCATTTCATTTTAAAAACAAATAGGAGTTTACTGTCATTGTTGAGTTTCTACATTGTCAGGCTGTTAACATTTAAATTACTGAACATTATTACTAACGAATTGTATAAAAAGTCACCTATATTATCAGGACCCTCTTCGTTGACATCTTCTTCTAACACTTCTCAATTGATATGATTTCATAGACTACGTAGGTAGTGATTATAATGATAATATAGTATTTTTATCTTCAAGTATGGTCATTGGAATACGAGTTACATCTATAACTGATCAACCTTGAAATGATAAAATAGAAGTGGTCAAGAACACATTATAATATATAATATTTCTTGGGACACGACGATTGATTTCCTATCTGTATCTTGTATTATTTCTATCGCTAAGTGTAATGTATACCGCTGAACTCATATACATGTACACAGCAAAATAAAGTAAAATCAACCAAATTAAATACTTTATTTTGACCTGAATGTCAAAGAGGTTTACCTGATTCGTGTTCTTTATTTGTATAGTATTCTTAAAGATGTAATATGTAAGAGCTAAATTTTCCTATTCCATATCTTTACTTTAGCTTCAAATACTATTATTTAGATATTTATCAACATGGCAAGCCCATAATCAACTCTCTAAACCATCGAATGGCAGAGATGTATATAGATATGAACGTCGCGAGATTTAAAGATTAACGATATAATCGATAATCGAGACTTAGTTTCGTTTGTTCAGTACCATGGCTCCGATAATAAACAACCTACGCTACATCTCCCAACACTTAATCTAAATCTTACATAATGCATCTTTAAATTAATGAAATAGGTGGGAGTGGGGATCTATCCTTTTAACCGATTGACCCTAACGTTCGTTGGACATCAAGATTATTATCATTTTACAGAGTTTTATTTTGTATTATAAATATTTATATTTAGTGACTGGTTTTAATATAATCCTGGTAACGGTCAGAGAAAACCAGTCGTTGAATATATTAAAATAACGTGAAAAAAAAAAAAACTAATTACAAACTTATATTTTTAATATTATATTTTAGTTACTTTTATCGTTTCATCTTAAATCATGGGGCATCGTCTTTATTTAGTAAATTATTTTTCATGATCGAGAGATGTTGTCCAAGGGAGGTAATATCAAGTAGTATAAGTGAGCTGAAAACAGCAGTCAGGAAAAAGACCCCAACAAATCCTACACCCTGAGCGGAAGGGCGGTTGTCCTCGGCACTGATTTTCTTACGAACAGTAGCTGACAACTTTTTGGTATTGATTTTGAGATCTTTCTTGATTTCTTCTACTTTCTCTTGTGCTCGTTCTTCGTCTGTGATGTTTCTTCCGTCATCCGATCGACATAGACAGGAACAGGCAGTTGATGTCTGAGGGCCATAAACCTGAGTTGCACTCAAGTTTTCAGTAGCGGTCGGTTGAACTGAATTTGAAAACAAAGTCCAATTAATGTAGCTACAATCAAACGAAATATAAATTTAAGAATGCAGTAGATTTCAATGATTCGCGAAAATGTTGGATTTGATTTCGTTTTGGCTAATGATGAAAAAAATACCCATTGACCCGGGCTTGATAGGGCCCCAATTTTCTGCGATATCAAACTGACGTAACGGTAGTAAGCCCCTTAATACTCCCACCAGGGACAAGGTTGGCTTTGTCTACTTGACGTTTCTTCGAATCCATAAATGGAGAGAATAAACGTATTTATATCACATATCGTACGTAACAGAACTGTCAACTGACCTATAGAAGATTCGACTTCTTCCGACAATGGTACACAGAGAACTATCTACTTGCGCGCCACTTAGTTTCTGTTTCAAAACTGCCGATCCACCATTGTGGACAGACAGCGTATGTATGTGGCTGCAGGGTGTGCGTGTTCGTAAAACAGGATCACTACTAAGTTGCTGCCAGTTGCTTGTCTTTTGATACATGCTTAGGCATAATGTATAGACCTACTTATATTTCCAATCTGATTCAAATCACAACTAAATTGCAAGATGATTCTAATTTTAATACTTATATCGCCTGTACCTGTTGTGCTTTGACTAGCGCCCGCCGTGCTTTGACTAGCGCCCGCTGTGCTTGTGCTATCGCTGTTTGCGCTTGCAGTGCTTGAAAATGCGGATATTGTGCTTTCTGTTGTGGATACTATGCTTGCCGGTGCGGATACTGTGCTTTCACTCGAGCTAATGGCGCTTGAATACGCGCTCACTGAAATTGAAAAGTAATTGCGCTTTGAAACATTACATTACATTGTAACAGTTTAAATTGAGTGTGGTTTTTCCTTATGAACACACGAACCATCTCTGCAAATCTGAAAAAAACACCCCCCCCCCCCCCAAAAAAAAACCCGCACACAATAATGTGCGCTTATAAAGCAAGTATTATTTTTTCCATTGTGACTTTAATAAAAAGAACAACATCAATTAGCCCTTATATATCCTGGACTATGCTGCCATAGCAAATACATATTATTTTAATAAAATATCATATTATTTCTGTTGAATTATTAGAATTTTTAAAAATCATTTTCTTTTATAACATTTATTATTATTATTATTTTTTTTTAATATTTTATTTTATTTTATTATTATTTTTTTAATTTATTTTTGGGTTTTTTTTACTTTATTTATTTTAATTTGTATTTAATTATTTTTTTTTCATTTAAATTTTTTATCTTTATTTATATTGTTTCCTTTACTACTAATAATTTTTTTTTCATGTAAATTTTTTATCTTTTTTTATATTTTTTTCCTTTACTACTACTAATAATAATGGTATGTCTATGGTGGTAACTGATTGCGAGTTGTCCCCTTAATTATTCTTGCCGGTTGTTCCAGTCTATTGTTATTAACTTTCGCTCGAGGCTTGAATTTTATGAATTTTGAAAACTAGTGCTTAAAACAGGTTTTTTTTTTGTGTATGTAATATTGAGAATCAGAAATGATCAATGGAAACACAACCTACAGTTAAGGCGTTGTGTAGTAACTTATAGTTTCAGACGGCTACGACGAGCTGAAATAGGCCTAATTCAACTTTGTTAATGATTAATTTTGAGAATGCTAGTTTTTGAGTTCCCCGTGAGCTTACCCTAACCCGATTCTTCCATATTTCTAGTATTTTTACGGGTATATATCTCGAATATGCAACATAGAAGGCTTATGAAATTTTGCAGCCTAGTAGTTTAGTCATCCCTTGACTCTGTGAAATAAAAACACATGGCTAGTATGGAAGGCCAAACAGCTCTTTATTCAGTGTTCTTAATTCTTATTTCTTAATTCATAGTCCGTAATTCTAATTTCCTTATTTGTTTGCGTATTTCGACATTTGCACACTAAAATTAACATTTGTATCTTAAAATCAATATTTGTTTTACAAATTTTATCTTTATATTGAAATACAATTAAAATACATTTTACAAATCTGATATGACAAATGTCTGATTTGTAAAACAAATATTGATTTTAAAGGAGCTAAGTCGCTGATATTGACACAAATGGGTCGGAACGCATACAATAATGTAATATGAATGTATATAAATTTATTTACATTCAATCGTTTCTGTTTTTACTCTAATTTCTAATCAGTTAGGTTCGGCGAACATGTATAACAATTATATATTAAATATTTATATAATATTTATACCAATAACAAAGAATTTGAAACGATAGACCATAACTATGTATAAATAACTATGATTATTTATATGGATTCATGTTATAAATATCAGCCACCCTAACCTAATCTTAGCCACGTTGAAATCTCTAAAATTTGACTTGTGATAAGAATACGCATAGGATAAATATGTCTCAGACGATAATGTTTTTTCCGGCCTGTATCTCCAGATATAGCCTCTTATCGACATTGAGGAAATTACAACGACAACGGTTACAACATCCTGGCCTATGCATTCAAGACGTTTTGACTCAAGTCAGGTTAAGTTAAAGGGGCTAAATCATTAATTTGGGACCTTGAAATTGACTCAAATGGGTCGCAACGCATATAATAATGTATTATGAATGTATATAAACTGATTTACATTCAATCGTTTCTGTTTTTACTCTAATTTCTGATCAGTTATGTTCGGCGAAATGCGCCAGAAGTCTCAATCGAATGGCAAATATCTAGAGTCTGGTTATTCCAGTCTACACCGATAGTATTTATTGTGCATACACTCCAGATAAGAATATGACGTCACCGTTAGACACGAATTGTGGAATATGTCTAGCCTCGTTCTTCGAGCCCCTTATTAGAAATGGCGCTGAAACGCATTATGGTACATGATTCGTGTACCAATGGTAAAAGGTTTATTTTGTCTTAAAGGACAATATTGGTGCCAGTCATTATCACATATGTGATAGAACTAATTAAACACGTTCCAAATATAATGTTAACACAGAGATCATTGCTACGATAGCTGAGTAATACAGGTTTCCTGAATAGGAAGTGACGAACGCCAAAGGAAAACACGAGTCATACCTCTATATAACTGACTGATGTGACGAGTGATAACAGATACACGGCCGAATTTCTGCTCACTAATAATTCCTTCCAAGACCAAAAGTTGTTGTGTGAGACTGTGAGAGGATATCTAACAATTCATAAAAAGAATTGACTGCCACTAGATAAGAAAACACGAAAGAAAATAGAAAAAGTCCGTGCATTACCATGTTTTTATAAGGTATAGAATGAATATAAACGAGGGAATGTACGGACTATTTCTATTTTCCTCGTGTTCTCTTATCTAATGACATTCAATTACTTTATTGAATTGTCGGGTATCCTCTTACAGTCCCATATGACAACTTTTGGTCTTGGAAGGAAATAAATATTGGATATCAGAAGCCCATCTTTTCCCGGTAACATCACAACATCAATGTTGATTTAAATTGACAAATAATTCGTGTTTTCAACGTCGAAAACTTTGGGTGATATTGAGTTAGAGACTTAGGTACTTTAAAGCCAATACCCTATGCCATAACATTACCCCTCGACGCCATGACATTAACAAAAAATGTAATATTCCATGTCGTCATATCTAATTAAAGATGCATTATGTAAGATTTAGATATAGAGCCGACAGGTATCGCTATAATAGTTAACCAGAAGTTGCCAGGCAAGCTAAGCCCACATTTTGCAAGAGATGGATAGAGTTATGGTCTGAACAGCGCGAATATCGAAAAGGGCTGAGGTATTTGGGATATAAAGCTATATTTTAAGTTTCATCAAAATCGGATAAAAATTGTGACTTCTAGAGCGTTCGCAACTTTGGTAATTTGCACGGCAGTTTGGGTCAGATTTTTACGAAATTCGAACTCAACCTTTATTGATGTGTAACGGTGATATATTTAAAGGTTTTTTAAAACTGAATACAAATTGTGGCTTCTAGCGGGTTCACAAGCTAAAAATGCGATTTTTCGAACAATCAGGGTCCATAATCCAGGAAGTTATGTTCGGATATGCGCGACTACGGAAAGCAACCAAGATTTTTGTGATCTAAATTTTTAATGTAAAGTTTCTTCAAAATCGGATCAATATACCATATATTTATACTATTTGTGTACGAGGGCCGACCATTTTGTCCGGCAGTTTTGGTCCGATTTTCGCGAAATTCAAACTCAACCATTAAGGTTTAACGGTGATATATTAAATCTGATAAAAATTGTGACCTCTAAAGGGACCACAAGCTAAAACGCGATTTTTTGTACAACCAGGGGCTATAATTCAGGAAGTTACGATCCGAATTGCGAGAATATCGAAAGGAACCGAGATCATTTGGTTATCAACAGGCATGTCAAGTTTCATCAAAATCAGATGACAATTGTGACCTCTAGAGTGTCCACATGCTAAAAACGTGATTTTTTGTACAATCCGGGGCCATAATCCATGAAGTGATAGTCCGATACATGCCAATATCGAAAGGAACCAAGATCTTTTAGAGATAGACATAGACCTATATTTCACGTTTCGTCAAAATCGGATAAAAACTGTGACCTGTAGAGTGTCCACAAACAAGTTGTGGACGGGCAGACAGGGCGACGTCACAATACGTTCACATGAAAATGTGGGCGTATGAAAAGCTACTACCTATAAAATAGACAATTTGATCTTTACACCCAATTCAAAGAAGTCTAGACATTATAAATTGGGGTTTGTAGATAACATTAAACATGTGCAGGATTTATCTACAACAATATGACATTTGTTTGTGGACAATCTACAGGTCACTAATATTGTCCGATTTTGACGACACTTGAAATACAGGTTGATACCCCAAAGATCTAGCTCGGCTCCTTTCGATATTGGCATCTATAGAACCGTAACTTCTTGGATTGTGACCCCTGATTATACAAAAAATCGGATTTTTAGCTTGTGATTTTTCATGCCAATTTCGACAGGAATCGAGATCTTTGGGAGTTAAACCTATATTTTAAGTTTCGTCAAAATCGCATAGGAATTATGACACGGAGAGAGTCCACGTAGGGCGACGACAATATGCGTCCAAATCAAAATGTGGGCGTATAAAAATTTGAATAATTCAACAGCAAATAATATGAAATTTTATTGGAATAAAATGTATTTGCTATGGTAACCATAGTCCCCCATAATTATCTTTTTTATAGTACGAGTATATCTTATATAATACGTCATATTTCATCTATACCTGTAGCCGTAGAGTCTGTTGGACTTGCGTTTATAGTCGTTGCTGTATCACTGTTCGCCCCTGATATTGAAGGATCTGTAAAATTAATTGGTTATTCTGGGTTAACACGATAGGATTGTCCCTATTGAGTCCACGATCTGATACATGTATATACGTTCGAATACGTTTCGATACGATCTACACGATTGCTACCACTGACCACAATATGATAAGATCTGATAGGATAACTACGACTACTCAAAGAATAAAACCACAATTTCAATTGTAGCGCGAATAGTGATAGTGGGAACCTATCATAAATAATAAAATAACAACATTGAATTGAGATCTGTTACAAATTTTTGCTTGGGGTGGGGCAAAAAAATCAGTCCCCGTGTACACGTAGGCGTGTACGTAGCCATTGACAGATTGAATTAGATGAATAGTAGGCGCATATCCGTGGATACATAAACGAAGCACGTTAAATGCCAATTCCTATCAAAATATTATTAAGTATACCTGACATTGTTGAATCTACCATTGCCGTGGATTCCGCCATTGTTGTGGATTCTGCCATTGTCGTAGATTCCACCATGGTTGTGGATTCTAAAAAAGGAAAACATTATATAGGACAGGAAAAAAAATAAACCCAACATGCCTGTCTGATTGATACTTTTAAATTGCTATTAGAATTAAAAATGTCGCTAGCTGAAGCCACTGATTGCCACTGCTCGTTCCTGGAAGATATTTATTTCCAACATACAAATAATTATTAACAAAATAACAATAATCATAATTTATCAATAAAACATAAACAAACATTGAACATAAAATTCACAAACAGATAATACAAACAATGGTGAAAACCTGCAATATTTATTTCCAACATACAAATACGCTCGTAAGTATTTACAAAACAATAATAATAATAATTTATCAATAAAACATTGAACATAAACAAAAATTGAACATAAAATTCACAAACAATTTAATACAAACAATGGTGAATACCTGCAATATTTGTACTTGAATCAATAATACTTGTTGACTCTGAATTGATAAACAAACAAAGAACAAAACAAATTACAATTCGTCATAGAGGCAACATAACCATTCCCCCCCTCCCCCGAGGCGACATGAAATGAGAGAAAGCCAATAAAGAATTTCAGTAACGACATCTACATTAAAGGAGATATCTCCGATATATTTCAGTGAAAAAACCTGGTTGATTCATTGATATTAAAGGAGAAATCTCTGATATATTACTAATATGTTACAGTGAAGATTGGTTAACTCATTGATATTTAAGGGGAAATCCCTGATATATTACAGTGAAAAAAACCCTGGCTAATTCATTGAAATTAAAGACGAATCCAAGATATATTTTAGTGAATACAATTGGTTAATTTTGCGTGGTAGACTCTTAGAACCACCCTTTATTTCACTTCTAAACAACTATAAACTGATCCTCTGTGATTATTTTTCAAAGATTTATTAACGCCAAGTTGTCGAGTGGAGTAGGCGATAAGCTTTCTAACTAAAAAAAAAGCTTGTGTACAATTCATACGCACTATACATCGATTTGTTTATGTGTTTTTAAACACAAATAATATAATTTGCAGGTTTACAAACGGTATCGACGGGCGCACTTTAACAGCTACGCAATCAATATAAACTATGTTTGCGATCATGATATTTTAAGCTGAAATTTTTAGTCAAACTAAATAACGGACTACTCCTTTAAAAAGAAACCTAAACTTGGTAAACGAAAACGAAAATTGGAGGTCAATTATGATCTAATTCAAATCAACATTAATAAATAAAACGATTATCTTAAAGTTAAACTTTAAAGTTTATATGAGGTATAATATTATGATTTGAATGAAAGTATTTTCAAACTTCCTAATTTATTGTGTAACTTTTGAAATACACGTAGATTGTAATTTGCGTTTTGATTACAATTAAAGCCAACGCTGCAGACATGTTTCCGGTACTAGAATTACAAGGTGGGAAAAACATTAATGGAATATATTGTATTTATTAATTGTTGCATTTGAGAGACTGAAATCTACATAATGATAAATTATACCTGCTATATTAGTAGTTGAATCTATTATACTTGTAGACTCTAAACAAACAAAATATAAATACAATTACATTTAAACAAACAACTAGGCTTCTTTTGTTATTTTTAGACCAGGAACTGGACCCCAACCGCTACTCATCTTGTTCTTGATAGGGGCGACGCTCTTCGACAATACCCTAAGGATCCGCGTGTTCCTTGGACAAAGGTGCACCGATTGACTGACTTCCATTTTTAATATGACGTCATAAATCCAGGATGCTTGCGATGACGTCATAGTACGCTGGTGCTTGTTTTATCAGTCCAATTATAAATACATAGACAGTACCATACGGGTTTATATGTAGACATAGACGAAACACCCGTGGTTTAAATAGACAGCAACATACATGGTTTAAACAAACATAAACATACGTTGTTCAAATAGACAGCAACACACATGATTTAAACGTACATGATTTAAAGGGACATTGTGCTAAAAAAAAAAATCAACTGTATTTTCTAGTTCGTAGATTTGTCATTACAACGACATCGTAATGGCCGAGAACAGAAGACAAAGGCTCCAAAAGGCTTCGATTGCTTGCACGCGGTTACCTAGTACATGCTTACATGGAAAGAAATCACCAACGTTATAGATTCGTAACTCCATGTGAAGAATTGCGTAAATATCATTTGAAAAATTGCGTAAATATCATGTAATTTAAGCTTTGCATAATAATAAATTATACCTGCTATACTAGTGGTTGATTCTATTATACTTGTAGACTCTAAACAAACAAAACATAGTATATTTAAATATAAATAGTAACATACAGGGTTTTATCATTTTACTATAAATATTTTACTATAATAATTTGACTACACGCATGAACATACAGGGTTTACTAATTAGACTAGAAACAGAAACATACAGGGTTTAATAATTTGACTACAAACAGAAACATACAGGGTTTAATAATTTGACTACAAACAGAAAACTTACAGGGTTTAATAATTTGACTACAAACAGAAACATACAGGGTTTCATAATTTTATCATAAACAGTAACCATAATTTAATTATAAATTATAAATTACTTGAATCAATAATGCTTGTTGACTCTGAATTGATAAACAAAAGAAGAACAAACCAAAATTACAAATCATACGTCATAGAGGCAAGAGAAGAGAGAGAGGGCAGTAACAAGCGTAATTTAACAATAGGCAGTAACAAACATAATTGAACTATAGGCAGTAACAAACGTGGAGATATAGGCAGTGGCATAAGAGTTCCGCTTTAGGCAATAATAAAAGTGGTTTAGACAGAAACATACATAGTTTAGATATAGACCATGGCATAAGAGTATATGTGCCATCTATAAACAGTGGTATATGTGGTGAAGATGTGGTTTTACTATAGACAATAATATGTGACACAGTGGTTTAATTATAGATAGTAATATATGGCAAAGTTTAATTATAAACAGTGGCAAATGTAGTGGGGTTTGAATATACACTGTACAAAATAATTATCATTAAAAAATGAGGCCGAATTTCGTAGTTTAACTCTTCTTAATCGATTTTGATTTCTTTTTTTGGGGGGGGGGGGTTAAAAGTGTAAATTATTTCTTCAAATTACGTGTTTTATGTATTTCTATGGAATTTTCAGTATTAAAGAAGCTAAATCGCTAGTCTTTGGCACCTAGAAATGGACAGATATTGGTCCCAACGCATTATAATAATGTATTATGAATGTATATAAACTGATTTACATCTATACGTTTCTGTTTTTACTGTAATTTCTAATCAGTTATGTTCGGCGAAATACGTGAAGAGTACAAATCGACTGGCAGTCTTTGGACTCTGGTTATGTTGTTCTAGTCTACACCGTTAGTATTTTACTGTGGGGTATGTTTAGCCTCGTTCACCGAGTCGCTTCATAACAAATGGCGCTCGAAAGCATTCTGGCATGCGACTCGTGTGCGAATTTTAAAATGTTCTCTTAAATTTTGGATATCAGAAGCCCATCTTTTCACGGTAAGATAATAACATCAATGTTAATTTGAATTGACCAGTAAGTCTTTTAAGCAGGAAATTTCCGTGACATTTAGGGATAAAATGTTTTATTCCATTCCATAATGATCCGTCACTGGACTCAGCGCTGTTATTTTACGGAATAAACGGTGGAATGACCAGGAATTTGCAGATTATTTCTGTTTGCACACGCGCAGTTCACTCGGATAACCTTCCATTTTGAATTGCATTTCAGATGTTGTAAGTGTTTGATCTTGTGTTTTTGACAATCTCATGATCTGTCCCTATCGATGAAGTAGGCCTCACTGATAGGTAGAGACAGCTGTAGAGAACCCGATTTGAAATCTTTATTTTATTTCATTATTCCATAGCAACGATAAATAATCATCCCTAATAATTACCATGTTATAGTATTCATTTCAACTTATTAACTATAATATGGACAATCACATTTTGTAAATTTTGGTATATTGTATGTCATGTATATCTTATTTCCATTATTTATAAGATCTATAAAGTGTAGTGTTATTCATCATACGTTAATCAGATTGTAAGTATTTTCATAAATGTATAAAAAATATGTTTTGATGCTTTAGATATAACATGTAATTGTCTGCGATATAACTTCGGTGGAAGCGTACATTTAACAAAGTTAAAATATAGATGTAACGTCATCCTTTGATGTTGGCGTATCATTATTTCAAATAATGGTACGGGCAATGTGCCAAGCGTACATTATGTTAAAATTCTGGACCCGTGTGACGTATTTCATTGCAAAGCACGTTGTTGTTGTTCTTCGTGTTTAACGTCCGCTTCCACCGAAGGTGATATCGCAAACAAGTCTTATTTTTCATTTTTATTATCTTAATGTACGCGCAGGGGTCTTCGCTGTGGGAGAAAATCGCAATACCCGGAGTAAACCCACGAGGTTAAGAAAGCGCGCCTATCTCCAAGCCACATACGCTAACACAAGGGATCGAACGTACGTGCAAAGCACGCGCGGGTGTCTGTATTTTAAGGTATCAGGCTTAAGACATCGTGTTGTTCAATCTCTTCAAAAAAAGTAGGGGATATTCAGAAACAATACAAACTGCGGAAATGCACTGCTGTTTTTATTAGAGATAACCAGTGTATGTTAATAACAGCCCCATTGCCTACACATGAACATAAACGGTTCATATGGGCGGCTTATCTGACGGCCCCATTTCACTCGCAAAGAGATAGCCTACACCGTCAAAAGTGAAAATGGACGTTTTTGATTTTTATCTTAATAATGAGTAATTGCTCCACCAATCCTCAGACATTCAGCAATTCGTCGTGATCAACCGTCCAATCACGATTTGGGGCAATCTGACCCACTCCTCAAATTTGACAATGAACCCCTCCCACGTGTATGGCGCTATTGGGTGTCGCATGTGCAGCTCAGTGGTTCTGTTTGGGCGATAAGTTCTTCATCTGTGAACATACCCTCAAAGCATGTCAAATGTTCATGACTATTAATCATATGGCAACCTGCATAGGTATTTGCATTTCAATATCCCCTACTTTTTTTGAAGAGTATATTACTTAATGTCTCGCTCTCGACCATTAAATCACACCTATTTCACACATTTCTTCTATGGGTTGTATTATCTCCTAATCACGTTCGCTTGAAGACGGTTAGAAATACCGATTGGCCTGTGTAAGCCGCACCGGTCTGTCTCAATAGCTGAGTTCCTATACCTGCAAATTGATAGTACTGCAAGCCTGGAACCGGCTATATGCACTGACACCTTGCCATCGTCTACCGAACAGGATTAGGATATACCGTATTCTTATGTTAGCGGTAAGGGGTTGTGCGTTAAATTAATGGTAAGCCCTTAGCGAAGAGTTAAATGCCACTTATACAGTTAAGATTTTAATTCTCTTTCAATTTAAACCGGTGACTGCCAGGCATGATACGCCCACATTTTGCAAGAGATGGATAGAGAACAAGCTAAAAAAAAGAAGCGATTTTTCGTACAATCAGGAGCCATAATCCAGACAGTTATGGTCTGAAATGCGCAAATATCGAAAGGGATTGAGATCTTTGGGATATAAAGATATATTTTAAGTTTCATCAAAAACGGATACAAATTTCTAAGGAGTCCACAATCTTCGTATTACATACCTTTACACAATTTGCGTTCAAAGAGCGACCATTTTGTCGACAATTTCGTTTCGATTTTTCTGAAATTCGAATTAAACCTTCATTATGGTGGAATTTTAATATATTTAAACTGTGTCCATAGAACACACAAGCTTTTTCGTACAATACAATCTTCTTATTACATACTTTTACACAATTTGCGGACAAAGAGCGGCCATTTTGTCGGACAGTTTCGTTTCGATTTTCCTGAAATTCGAATTAACCCTTCATTATGGTGGAGTTTTGATATATTTAAACTGTGTCCATAGAACACACACGCCTTTTCGTACAAATAGCGAAAGGAACCAAGATCTTTGGGACATAAACATATATTTTAAGTTTCATCAAAATCTGATAACAATTGTGACTTCTAGAGGGTCCACAACCTTGGTATAACATACTTTTACACTATCTATGTACAAGGAATCGCCATTTTGTCAAGCAATTTTGGTCCGATTTTCATGAAATTGGAACCCAATCGTCATTAGGTTGTAGCAGTGATCAATTTAAACGTTTTTTAAAAATTGGATAAAAATTGTGACCACTAGAGGGTCCACAAGCTAAAAACGTGATTTTTCGTACAATCAAGGGCCACCATTCAGGAAGTTACTATCCAATATGCGCAAATATCCAAAGGAACCACGATCTTTGGATTATAAATATACGTTCAAGTTTCATCAAAATCTAGATTGTTCACCACCTTGATATTACATACTTTTACACTATTTGCGTACAAGGAGCGACCATTTTGTCTGGCAGTTTCAGTCAAATTTTTACGAAATTCGAACTCAATCTTCATTGATGTGTAACGGTGATATATTTAAACGGTTTTTAAAACTGAATACAAATTGTGATTTCTAGCAGGTCCACAAGCTGAAAATGCGATTTTTCGAACAATCGGCAATCTAATTAAAATATAGATCTATATTTCGTTTCGTTTTTTATACTTTCGATGGCCTACACTACATGTAGATCTAACAAATTATAGTGGGAGTTCACGTTCTATGACGTCAGGTACCAAGCAAGCGACATTTGACCCGATTACGTCAGTCGTTCGATTAACCAATTTTTTATCTACTTTTGCTTTGTTTTGATTTCTATTGCCGCTAATGTCTACCCACACAGTTCCGCGCAAAAAGGGTCAAACGCTCGATTCGACAGACCATTTGATTGGCTGACCCTCATTTCAAGCAGAACACGAGTTAAATAACAACGCTCCCATATCCAAGTGTAGTAAAGACAAGTAAAATTAAAATTTTGAACTATAAAAACGAAACGAAATTGAATCTGTGTTTTAATCAGATTGAACAATCGGGGGACATAATCCAGGAAGTTACGTTCTGATATGCGCGAATATCGACAGGGACCAAGATCTTTGGGTTATAAGCATGCATTTCAAGTTTCATCAAAATCAGATGAACATTGTGACCTCTAGAGTTTACACAAGTTAAAAACGTGATTTTTCGTGCAATCAGGTGCCATAATCCACGAAGTTATGCCCCGATACATGCCTATATCGAAAGGAACCGAGATCTTTTCGAGATAGATCTATATTTCAAGTTTCGCCAAAATCGGATAAAAATTGTGACCTGTAGAGTGTCCACCAACAAATGGTGGACGGACGGACAGGGGCGATGGCATAATACATCCACATGAAAATTTGGGCGTATAAAAATATTCAGTTGAGAAGTGAGAGAAAAAGAGAAATGGGGTTTAACGTCCACTCGAGACAAACTAGGTCATTTCGGGACTAACACATGGTTCAATTTTATTTCAATAATTCGCCTGCGCGTAGGGGTCTTTGGCAGTGGGAGGAACCGGCGGACCCGGAGAAAACCCACGAGGTTGGACAGGCGACCCTACTCCTTTTTACGTACAACCGGGGAATCTAAACCACGCCAGTTGACTTAATATCAGACCTTATGATACAGCGTGCACGTGCTAATCATTCGGCCATCCAACCCCTCAGTTGAGAAGTGAATCAAGGGGAGGGGAGTGTTTCTCGATATTTTGTGGTTTATGGATTTTGAAATATGTTTTTAAAATGGGAAAGGTTCTGGAAACAAAAATTAGAAGAATTTTTTCCTGTATTTTTAAAAAATGAAATTTATGTTAATTGAAGAAATTTCTGTAAATTGCAGGAAAAACAAATACGGACGAAATTTTTCTGGTAATTTTATTTCCGGAACTTTTTACGTTTTTTACGGATTACTTTGTTACAGTATAAAGAAAACAAAATTCTGGTAAGTTTTGTTTCCAGAGCATGAAAGAGAAACAGATGACACTGAATAAGAGGCATTTAACTCTTCTCTGTTGTAGCGTGGGCACGGGCTTACCACTGACATAAAACGCAAACCCTTTCTGCTAAGATAAGAATACGAGATATCCTAATCGGTAGACGACAGCAAGGTAACACAAACCCGCTACTCGTCAGTGACTGAATCTGTTAGAGGCTTTCAGATGTAATCTTGTGGTGTTATCAATTTGCATGCATGTGAACTCTGCTATAGAGACAACCCGGTTATACTATCCGTATTTAAGCGTCAAAACATATTTTTAGACATTTATGAAAATACTTACAATCTGATTAACGTATGATGAATAACAATACACTTTATAGATCTTATTAATAATGGAAATAAGATATACATTGCATGTAATATACCAATATTTACAAAATGTGATTCTTCGTATTATGGTCAATAAATTGAAATGAATACTATAACATGATGATTATTAGGAATTATTATATATGTATAGGATTTGCATTTGCAAATAGAGAAATTATCCGTAAATTTTTGGTCATTCCACCGTTATTCCCGTAATATAACAGCATTAAGTCCAATATAGAATGAAATAAAACAGAAAACAAACCAAAAAACATTGACTAACGGAAAAAATGAGTTAAACTACGAAATTCGGCCACATAAAAATGGATAATTTTACAGTGTAGACAATAAAAAGCAACAGCAATATACATGGTTTGACAACATATGAACATGTAATGTACCTGTAGAATTCATACAAAGGGAGGAGGGGGCTGTGACTGTTATTAACGATTCCAGCGATGAGGAGACAATATCTTAGATTTAAAAAAAACAAACCAACAAACATAAATACACAGATACATGGCAATTAATTAATTGTATCTTTATCACTATAATTATAGAATTAAATTTTAGCTACGTTTGAGTACCAATAAAGACTCCGAAACTATCAGTGAATAACTGAGATATTCTTATTCTAGTTATTTTCAAATTGTTTTAAATTTATTGGAGTTTGTCGAATACCCCCTTGAGATGACACGCAGGCTATCGTGAATAACCTTGCTAGTTTAACCATCAAACCCCTTCCTAGTATTGCGATCTAATAACGATCATTATATAACTAAAAGGGGTGTAGATTTTAAATGCTCTAACATAGAAACGCTCAAAGGAGCTAAATCGCTAATATTTGGCACCTAGAAATTGACACAAATGGGAAGTAACGCATATAATAATGTAATATGAATGTATATAAACTGATTTACATTCAATCGTTTCCGTTTTACTCTAATTTCAAATCAGTTATGTTCGTCGAAATACGCCGGAAGTCTCAATCATTATCGAGTAAAATTATATCTTAGATATGATTCTTACCTAATACGTCCACTTGTAAAACAATATAGTGAGCAGCACCGTATGCTGAAATAGAAGTAAGTCCTGGTAAGTAAGTAAAACTCCCATAACACATACATCACCACCTCGCGGTTGACGTGAATGAGAGCAGTGATGACGTTTGGGGCGTAGTATACGAACATAGAAAATGGTGAACATATCTGCAATTCTGCGCCACTAAGAGCGTAGTTGCCTTCACACTTGAGATTTATTTCAGCATTTCACCGCGATCTCACTACGCTCTATAGAATTTTTGCGCTTAGTAAGGTGTACGTTAAGTGTGAAAGAGAGAGAGAGAAATGGGGTTTAACGTCCACTCGACACAAACTAGGTCATTTCGGGACTAACATGGTTTAATTTTATTTCCATAATTCGCCTGCGCGTAGAGGTCTTTAGCAGTGGGAGGAAACCGGAGGACCCGGAGAAAACCCACGAGGTTGGACAGGCGACCCTACTCCTTGTGACGTACAACCGCGGATTCGAAACCACACCAGTTGACTCAATGACAGGCTTTATGATACAGCGCACACGTGCTAACCATTCGGCCATCCAACCCCCCGTTAGTGTGCAGGGGCTTTAGTAAAACAAATTGAATATGGTATATAATGTCAATAAAAATATTATACAGATTTTATAGTAAGATTAATATAGATTCATCTTATAAAATGATTATGACCCAGTATATCTATGTATTATTATGTTTATAGCCAAATTATATCACATCCAGATGATTGCCAACAATCTGAGTTGATTCTGAGAAATAGCTTCTGTTCTCTAACAAATAGAGCGCTTACAGGATTTTTGTCGTAGGTGCAATCGATACACTATTCTGGGTGTCTGCCTATGATTCGTCGATGAATTTTAACAGGTTTACAAAAAGTTTTCGAAGTTGTATTTTTTTTACAAAGTTTAGGTAGATTCTAACGGACAATAACTTCGTGCAATCTTGGTCCACAATTTCAAATTTCAAAATAGGTTACCTCGTTGTGTCCAGTTGAACAATGCCAGCGAGTTTGAAACCCGGCCAAAGTTATCTCATAGTTTTTACAAAATTGTGACTGGACGGATGACCGGAACGAAGAACAAAAGGTGATCACAATATACACAAAATGTGGGGGTATATGAAATGAATTTTAATACTTTTATAACATAATAAATAAATTCTTGTTTTTTCTTTTTCAAGAATTGTGAATAATAAATTAGTACACACTTGCTGGTCCATATATGGCTATGTTAGCTCTGTGAAATGTGTAATTATGTGCTATTGGTTCGACCCACAAACATTCAGTTTCAATTAATCCAACATGGATACGGGCTTCGTCTTCAGGATAAAATTCCTGAAAATATAAATTACAAATGTTTTTGAATAGGCAAAATGGCACAGAGTCTTCCATGATAAATTTTGGATTCTATTAATTTCTATCAAACATCAACATTAGCATTGATAGAACGACATTTAAGTTAAATTCCAATGTGCTAACAAAGGTTATAACAACCAATCAATTACCTCCTAACAATTCGAGACGCGATTAACCAGAGATAGAAATATATTTATATAAAAAATATGAGTACTTACCAGACTACCACTTAATGTTGTCAGTGGCCTTTTAGCGGCATCGTTAGTGCATTCCCCATAATATAGTTTATATCCCGGACTTGAAGCGTTGAAATACAGGTTAGTAAGATAGCATTCCTCTTCTTCTTGTATGGTCAGTGACACCACTTTACTATTCGCGCCAAGTATTATCTACAAATAAACATGAACTGAAATGAAATGGGGTTTATCGCCCTACTTTTCTGCACCAATCGGAATAATGAAGACGGGCATACGTTATACAGTGCGCTAGGAGGGAAATTTTTCTCCGACAGCCGCGCTACGAGCCACTCTTATATCGAATTCCAATTGTCCAGGTTTGTTACGTGCACGCCAACGTGTACATGGGACCCCGGTTTATTGTCGCATTCGAACGACTTGAAAGATTCCAATATCTTGGAGTTCTTTATTCCTATAGAAAAAGAGTTCCATAAGGCTGGTACTATGTAGGAGGAAGTTCTATGTCCAAATGATTTAAGTCTATAAGTAGTAGGTACAGTTACAATGTATTCATACTACTATCTGAGAGTACTTTGAGATGTGTAGCCTGTTGCCTTCCATTAAGGCATTTATAAGCTATACAAAAAAGTTTAAAATTAATCCTGTTTTTGACTGGAAGCTAATGAAGATTTTTTAGGATTGGTGTTAGGTGGTAATTTTTGGTAGATTAAAAACAATCCTAGCTGAGGTGTTTTTACTAGCTGCTATATATATTAATAAATTTTTGAATGATACATTAGAGACGACTCTGCAGTCACCAATTCTTCATCATACTAAACAACGAACCAGCGATGGGCGGCATCTTTTGAGATTGGGTTGCGAGTTCGACCAATAGATCGCAGACAGAAGTAGCAGGTTTTGCAAATATGACTAACCTGCTTTCCAAGTCAGGTTCCGCATACAAACAATTTCCAAAATCTTTAACATTATCATCAAGTGAGATTTGTGAGTCGGCAATTGTAATAATAGTTACTGCTTTTTGGTACGGATTAACACGACTTCCGTTTTGTCATCATTTAGCTTTAGCATGTTCTTCGTCATCCATAATTTTATGTTTTTTGTGAACAATTTGTGGCATGGGGAAACGATGCTGGAAAATCTTACGGAACTTTCTCGACCAACACCAGGATCGTACCCAGGACCTCCAGTTTAGTGACCTCGCTCCTTACCCAATGGGCCACCACAGCCCATATGCTTGCTTGGAATTAAAGTAATTGAAATTCGACAAATATTATATATCAAATATTTATTTTCAATTTTTTTCTAAACTTGAACAAGTGGTTGCCATGCAATAGTGAAAGTATGGGCGTATAAAAGGGAATCCAATGACCACACATCTTGTGACTCACCTTTTCTACAGCTGTATCAGAAGTAATATTTACAGTCGTAAGCACTGAGTCACCATCAATTGCCCCTGTCAGCAAACTCCTCCATTCATTATAACCTTAAAAATAACGTTCATTTTTTAGGTTTGATTCGGTTATCTATAGTGTCACACACAAAACATATAGTTCCCTCTGTCTTCCCATATCGCCACGCATTGCCCCGACGACCTCGTGGCAATATTTGGTAACGCCTTTTTCCGCTTGGCGGCACACAGTTTTGAAATTTTCAAACATTCGGCACGCATCAATGTTCGTGCCAATGCGTGGCATTACGAGTCAGCGCTTGTAGTGGATTACCATCTCACGCACTAACACGCACCATGGGCAGTGTTCACGCATGGTTCAAGCACATGGCACATTTGATACGTGGTAAATTTTAGAAAATTTCAAACTTCTCTCTAAAACATGGCCCGCCCGCCGTGAAGATTTGTCTGATTCGATATAATGCGATATTTTCACTTATTATTTACAGTCTAGGTTTCATCAATGGTTTAAATCTGTTCAACTGTTTCCAAATCATGAAATTTCAAAACCGGCAGTGATTTTAATAAAAGGCTTGTAATACTTTAATCGTTGAGAATTACTTCCCCTGTTATAGTGTTTGCGTCAATGTTTTCAATGTACTGATCTTGATATTTTTTGCAAGGACATGACCGATCATGATATGCACTAGTGAAGCCTGTTTCATTAGGCTACACAGCCTTGCGGGCGCTTACGATCTATTCACTTTTCGTATCTATTAATTATATACAACGTCCAGGTTATATCCATGTGTAGGGTGCCTCACAATAAACAAATATCTCTAAATATCTCGACAATTACACCACAATATTTATATATATACCAAGCCTTGAATCAGTTTCGCACATTTATAGTCACTAAATAAAGCTATGATCATTTAACTATGAATAAATAATAGACTGAAAAATGGTCTCGCTTAACCAGTCTACCGATCATCCTCCGTCTGATTGACAGGCCGGGATAATCAAGACTACTTTTTTTTACGAAACATAGCAGAAAGCTGGAATAAGGAACTGAAATTAGAAAGACGCGCGTTAGACAACTCAACAATTGTTTTAAGAACATTGTAAAATTTAAATGAAACCACTGCTAGTATCATGTTCTTGCCTAACCCGAGTGTTTCAGAGATATTTGTACTAAACCAAAAGATGCCGCTCCTAACGGTATAGTTAACGATAAAGCAATTTAAAAAATAAAACGAATATAATTTCTAAAGCTGCTGTAATAACCAAAAGGCGAAATATTACTGCTATTCAGAAACGTCAACAATAGATTTTTTACGGCTGTAATAGCTGATAGATGTGTAGAGAACGTGCCAAGGATATTTATAGACTCATAGACTCTTGTTCTGAGTGTTATTGCATCGAGTGATTAACCAGAAATCACTTCGAGACCAGCCACTGAAGCCTACACATTCGCCGTTTCGAGGGGGTTGGATGGCTGAATGGTTAGCACGTGCGCGCTGTATCATAAAGTCTGTCATTGAGTAAACTGGCGGGGATTCGATTCATCGGTTGTTCGTGACAAGGAGTAGGGTCGCCTGTCCAACCTCATGGGTTTTCTCCGGGACTCCGGTTCCCCCCCCCCCCACTGCTAAAAGACCCCTACGCGCAAGCGAAATATGTAAATAAAATTGACCCATATGTTAGTCCCGAAATGACCTAGTTTGTGTCGAGTGGACGTTAACCCCCCTCTCTCTCTCTCTCTCTCTCTCTCTCTCTCTCGCCGTGTCGAGTTCAACGTTCAGTAGGGAAATTTTGGCTGCATGGGGCACCCTACCATGTGCAACAAGTGGTATCAGATCAGGCGTTCTGTAAAGAGTAAGTATACCTTACAACACTAGACCGGCAGGTGTTTATTGATACATAACAATGTCCAGTATGCATAGTAACACATGATTATAAATATAGATACATAATAAAGTATACATAAAGTATAAAGTTTTGAAAGTTTACCTGTTACATTATAAACATTCCACACTCCTGCAGAACCACAAGTTTGATAAATATTTCCTGAGCAAGTACCCGTGCACCCGGTTGAACTGACGCCAAGTGTGTTAACACAATAACATGCGGCAGACTGCAAAATAAATAGAATATAACAGACCCATATTCAATTCCATTGTATTATCTAAATCCTGTACGTGGGCACAATTAGATTCAAAATTCCTTACATACTTTTAAAAAAAAAGTAGGAGATATTCAGAAACAATACATAACTGCGAAAATGCACTGCTGGTTTTATTAGAGGTAACCAGTGTATGCTAGTAATAACAGGCCAATTGCCTACACGTGAACATAAACAGTTCATATGGGCGGCTTATCTGACAGTCCCATTTCACTCGCAAAGAGATACACTGTCAAAAGTGAAAACGGACGTTTTTGATTTTTGTCTTAATAATGAGTAATTGCTCCACCAATCCCCAGACATTCAGCAGTTCGTCGTGGTATGCTCCTAATAAACCATCCAGTCACGATTTGGGGCAATCTGGCCCACTTCTTTTGCAGTGCCACGGCCAATTCTTGCAGTGTTGTCGGTTGACGTCGACGAACACGTCTCCCGATCAAATTAAACGTAACACACTAAAGCAAAGATACACTAAACAGTTAATCTTATGCAAGAACCGATAGGAAAGCAAACATGGATAGGATAAACCAGCAAGAGGCAGTTTTCATCAACCCTTCCTTGAAGTGTCAAATTTGACAATGAACCCCTCCCACGTGTATGGCGCTATTGCGTGTCGCACATGCAGCTCAGTGGTTCTGTTGGGGCGATAAGTTCTACATGTGAACATACTCTCAAAGCATGTCAAGTGTCCATGACTATTTATCATATTACAACCTGCATAGGTATTTGCATTTCAATATCCCCTACTTATTTTGAAGAGTATATATTAGTATATTTTTTCTATTCATGTAATTTTCAAATCATTATCTAATTTCTTTATTTATCTGTCGTTTTTAAATTTTATTCCACTTTATATATTAACGATTTACCTGTTTAATATCGCAAAAAACTTAGAATTTTGACACTTCCACGTTAGCAACCGTCATTAGGATGTGGTTTGGTGTTGCAGCTATTCGTGCGCAATATAGTTGATAAGCTCCCCATTACCATCGCGTTAACTATGTTCATAAAGAAGGCGAAGGCAATAAGCCGTAATTATCATGCATAAGTTCCGACCATAACAGTCTCTCATGGACATGGTCCGCAGACCGTTCATGTCCGCTTCTGTTAAGCTGATACCGCTCTACCCCACCTCCATACGAATTCTATTTGGGATTCCCGACCTTCTATTTTGTTTTGTTCGTCCAAAAGTATCATTTTTTTTGACAGGCGTATATATTATTCCAAAATGTACCTTTATTTCCTGGATGACTTTATTCTATATGTCCCCTTTCTTCCTAAGCACTCTCCGAGTTTCGTATCTTTACGAAAACTTTGGAGATTTCTAGATGGAGGTAGGAAGAAAATAAAGACCGTTGGTTTTATGGGCTTATCAGTCCAGAAATGTACATACCAATTTTTAAGGTGGCTACATTTTCTACCTAACTAATTTCAGAATTTATTCACCATATGTACCCTTTTTTGCCGCGCATAAGGAAGAGTATACCCCAGTTTTTTTTAGGGTTATTTATATATTTTAACACAAATAAGGCGATTAAATATTATTTGTTTATTTTAAATATATCTTACCAAACCACCAAGTCCAGCATAAGTTTTAGATAGAGCCGAACAAACTGACACACAATCATCTATGGTCGTTGCTGTCGCATTTGTTGCAGTTACACCCCCAGGAGGCGTCATGCACCCTTCATGAACTAAAAATAAATAAAGGCAAGTCTTTAACTCAATATCATCCACAGCCTTCGAGATTGCAAACAAGACTTATTATTAGTCAATTTAAATCAACATTAGTGTTGTTATCTTACCGTGAAAAGATAGGCATCTGATATTTAAGACATTTTAAAATTGGCACACAAATCGCGTGCCATAATGCTTTCGAGCGCTATTTGTAATGAAGCGACTCGATGAACGAGACTAAATATACCCCACAGGAGAATACTATCGATGTAGATTTGAATAACCAGACGTCAGAGACCGCCATTCAATTTAGACTCTTCGCGTATTTTGTCGAACATAACTGATTAGAAATTACAGTAAAATAGCAACGATTGCATGTAAGCCCGTTTTTATACATTTATATTACATTATTATATGCGTTGCTACCCATTTTTGTGTTCATTTCTAGATGCCAAAGAACAGTGATTTAGGTCCCTTAACAAAGAGGACATAACTTTTTTCAGGTACGGTAAGGCAATCAGGGGACATGCCCCACCCCCTTTCACTGATGATGCAAGCGCCTCGGTGACATTTTCATCCAGAGGCCCCATGCAAGCTTAATCCGGCCCTGGATGTAGTATGCATGCATATATAGCTCGGGTGCAGCCACCCAATTGGGTACAAGGTGTATCGAATTAGGTAGAAAACCTGCCATCAACTGTCATATCTGATCTACTTTGGGAGCCGCGGTGACTCAGTGAGCAAGACACTGACTCGGTCTTTGGTGATCCTCTGTTCGATCTAAGTGTTGACCGAGTAGGTCTTCGAGATTTTCCGGTGTGGTTTCCCCTTTTCAGATGTGCAGAATAGACAATGTCTAGTCGGTTCGATGGAACGATACATCGATGTCCTGTGTACAGATTGACGTGCACATTAAAGATCCCCTGACCGCTGGAATTTGATAGATGAGTATACCGTATAGCACGTCTTCATTAACATAGTCGGAGCAGAACAGTAGGACTTAAACACCATTTCATCCTTTTTTTAAATTTTCTTTCAAAGTTATATCATTATCGCACGAATTTCAATTACTGGGTCCGCTTCCAGTTATATTCCATCTCACCGATATACCCAACGCCACCCATGACTGAATGAACCGTTCCCTTATTGGATATGCTGATATGAACTTCGGCCACCACCCAAATATCCGCCTTTTTTATTAATTGTGAAACAATAAATAGAATTGTTACCTGACGCTGGTATACCACCAGTGCCAACCAGTACCATATTGCCAAACGTTGGTGGGGTAATATATCGATTATATTTAACACTCATTAACTCAGGATTAGTACCACTAGTAGCAACCAACTGTGCATCTGGAAAACTTTAAAAAAGATATACACTAATTATATATATAGATGACTGATTGGATTTTACAATACATGTATAATGAATTCGATAAACATTTTCTATTTTCTTTAAATTCAATGCAAATAGCGAAAATATTTAACTTTGATTTAACAATTATTAACACTAAACAATACCTCCCAATACCACAGAGTATTACATAATACTACATAATACCTCCTAATACTATAGCCAATGCCACACCATACCTCCTAACACTACCAATACTACACAATATCTCCCAATATTACACAATACCTCCTTACACTACCAATACTACACAGTACCTCCAAATACTACCAATACTACATTATATCTCCCAGTACTACACAATATCTCCCAGTACGACCAATGCTACACAGTATCTCCCGATATTACACAATACTTCCCAAAATTACACAATACATCCCAATATTACCAATACTACACAATAACTCCTAATACTACCAATATTACACAATACCTCCCAATACTACACAATATCTCGGAATACTACACAATAACTCAAAATACTACCAATACTACACAATATCTCCCAATACTATACAATATTTCCCAATATTACCAATACTACTAAACAATATCTCCCAATACTACATAATACCTCCTAATACTTCACCTCCTAATACTACGAATACTACACAATACCTCCTAATACTACACAATACCTCCTAACACTACCAATACTACACAATACCTCCCAATATTACCAATACCACCACATTATCTCTCTATTATCTAAATTGACAGAATACTTCCATTACATAAAAAAATTAAAACAATTCGCAAAATTAGCAAAACATTGAACCAAAAACTGGAATATCTCAAGCGCCTGAATACTAGGTGAATATTACTAAATATTCTAACCCAATATTAGAAAATACAACCATATGTATCCGTCACTTTGCTAATGACTCACGCAGTATTTATATGCAATTTTAAGAAATAAATAATAAACATTTTACCGTATGGAAAGTATCCAGAATATGTCATGTATATTAAATGCATGGAAAATATTCAAGCTCATATTGAAATGCCCACAGTTCATTTCCCGGTTGACATAACCACCCAATATCAAAAGTAAGCCTTATGTGTAATATACTGAAGCACTCACAAAATCAATCAATTACATCAGGGTATTTTGAAACTGGACACGACCTATCCCCCGACACACCGTCTGTTTATTACGGGATATTTTAGAACCCGAAAACGTACAACTTTCTTAGGTGATTTAGCCAATACTGGAGATCGATCATCATGACTGCGATTAAATTTTGGTACTTGGCTTAATCCACGTATATTCTGACTACAGAATGGCTGGAATCTACCGAGTCCTGACTGATCAGAAAAACATTCAGAGATTCAGTATAAAATACCATATTACGTACGATGTTCAGATTGATCAATGTAACGTTACCAGTATTTGTATACCTGTGGGTAAAATAAGACGTGGCTGGGAATAAAAAAGATAGAAATCCAATGATTTTTTGAATTTCTGTGACCGGTAATTAAAGTGAAAGACCCGCAATTTTCAACATATTTAAAAACAATCACTCCTGTTCCTGCATCACGGGCAAAAATCGAGTCTTTTATTTTATTATTTTATCAAAACCGAAGTGGCGTAAATGGTTCATCATGCTTTCTCATCGCTATAGAAAGCATACAGATTTGGCATAAGTTTAGCGCTGTATCACTCCTGTTCCTGCATCACGGGCAAAAATCGAGTCTTTTATTTTATTATTTTATCAAAACCGGAAGTGGTGTAAATGGTTCATCATGCTTGCTCATCGCTATAGAAAGCATACAGATTTGGCAAAAGTTTAGCGCTGTATTTTGTTTGGCTGAAAACCTGTTTATGTCTTATACACGTTCAATACACCCCCCCCCCCCCGCCGCCTACATAAACAGAAGAAAAAAAGAAGATAGTCCGACCTATTGGCTGTTTGTTTTGGTCAAGTAAAAGGTATCCACGACTATGTTATTTTATTTGCCTAATCGGTAGGTAAAGAATAAAATCTAATAATAATGATAACCGTTTATAAATAATTAAGTGTCTTGTGGTCATTTTGTTACGCGTATACAGTGCATACTTCAAAATCATTTAATCGAAAAAAAAATCTACCATACGTTTAAAAGTGAGCTTTTGTTTTCATGATGGTGAAAACTAATGTATTAATATTTTATCGACAGCTTGAAATCTCAGACGTCAAACCATTAAGAGAATCGTAACGGACAATAATCGATGCAGAAAATGACGTCGAAGATTAATTAAAAGGGAGTTTCGTACCATCTAAACCATCCTCGCAAAACCAGAGAAATTCTAAATTTGTAGCTCTGCTGGTCAAATATAGTGGCGTTGCCAATATGGAAGTGGTGGTTGGGGCTGGGGTCCTTTTGCCAAGTTCGCAGAAAGTTGGTATGACTCAAGATTACCAACATTATTGGAGAAACGCATCTAGCCCAAGACTACTAATTGTAACCCCTGATTTCATGATATCTATTTATGGCAATTCTTTCATTTTCCCTTTTTGTTGACTTTTTGGTCTAGAATTTGTTTGATTTTACATTTTCTGTCAGGTTTTGGTATGTATTTACAATTTTGTGGCAAACGGATCTGGGGTTAACGTAAGGCAGTGTCTTGTTGTTTATACCCTTAACGATATTTACAAGATATGCCATAATCATGCGTTTTCGGTGGGTAGGCAGAGTAGGCAGCTTACCCTCATAATTGCAAAAACAAAAGAAACCGAAAATGTTTGATAACACTCGAATGCGATGAGATTTCCACGTGCCATCCCTTTGAACAAGTACCCTCCCTTTAGAAAAAAAGTGCCCTCCCTTTTAGAAAAAAAGTGTCCTCCCTTTAGAAAAAAACTGCCCCTCCCTTTAGACAAAGTGCCTCCCTTTTGACAAAGTACCCTCCCTTCTAAAATAATAACCCCCCTTCTGAAAAAGTACCGTCGAATTTCGAAAAAATTACCTCAAATACTGATGGTAATGCCCGCACCAATGTCATCATATTCCTATTGCCCTATTTACAATATTGTGCCATTTTTCCTGTTGCCCCTCCCTTGTTAAAAGCAGATCCTACGACACTAATATTCCTCAAATAATGGATGTTACACAGAACCTGATAGTTTTAGCTATTAAACAGATACATTACAGACTGTAGAGTAATACATTTTAAAGAAACACTCTACTTGTGGAACAGTTTGCCGATTTACGTTTTTAATATAAAAGAGTTTCTCAGCTGATGGGAGAGTGTATATACTTAAAGTGATTTCCATTTGTGAACTACAATATTCTGAAAGTCGACAAATCTCTACAATAGGAAAGCATGACCAAATGTGTTTCAATTATGCATTAAAACTCCTGCAGATACTCTTGGCAGATAATATTAACAAGCCAGGGTCACTTATAAGCGTTGGGTGAAATCTTTTCATCCGACTGAATCCAAGCCGTGACGTAATCTATAGTTTATATAAAAAAAAATAAATTAGGTTTTATAGGTTTAATTATAATTTTATAGAACAAAAGTAAAGATAATTTCAATCAATCAGATTCATTGGACTTCAACCATTACAAAACCAAACCGCATAAAATGTTTAATTATTCATGTAACGAAGTAAATTTTGATCCATTTGCTTTATGTAGCAAAATGTAAGAAGTGTCCTGCATATAAGATCAAGTACATTTTAGATTAAAACATCAATATTTTATAATAAAAGCAGAGAATGAAGAGAATGGGACCTATGGATAATGAGAAACAGACTTCTAAATAAATGATAATCTCTTTTGAATCCTTTGTCATTTGTTTACAATTGATTTTATATAACAATCTATCACGCCCAGGAGAGAATCTTAAGCATGATTGCACGCTTTGCCATCCAAACCACAGATTTGTGTAGATGCTCAAACAAAAGTTTAGAGTAGGCCTATAATTTCCAAGTCCTAATTCCATTAAAATCACATGCCAGTTTTGCTTCGTAATATTTTTGTTGTACACCATTAGCATCTGACAAGTTTTCTTTGAAAACGGTGCTCAGATCATGTGAATTTCTTCATTTATCAAAGTGCCTGTATTGGTACACAAGACTGTCTTCAAGGGGTTAATTAAGTCAATTTAATATAGAAGAAACCAAGTTCTCACTCTTTTAATAAATTATTGTACCAACTCCCCTGCTAATAAGAAATGAACCGAGTATGATTTGTTTAAGTAGATTGTTTCTTGTTTTGTTAATTGATATCGTCTGAGAATGTGTGATGTCCCAGTCACTTTCATCAGTACAAAAGAACACACTATCTGATCTGGGTCAAAAATAAAGTGCATAATCTAGATTATTAAAGCCTTGTTGCTTCCTACTGTAATTTAATATATAAAAAGATAAGGATTAAAAGGCGTTCTTTAGACTATTAAATAAAATACTACGTTTGATGCCATCTTGACCTCGAAGAACATGTTATTCTTTGGGGTGTTTAAATGGCCAGAACATATTTCAGTGTGTATTTACTGGAACACTTCAGCCGACTGGTCTTCGTTTATTGAACAAAACTGACATTTTATACTATAGACTAGATCAGTCGGCGATGACGGGTGGATTGGTGTGTCATCAGCAAACAGGTCGAAACGGTATTTTAGATATAATTGCAGGTCATTAATAAACATGGTAGATAACAATGGACCAAGGACAGATACTTGACGCAGCTGCGACGCAGCTGAATCTTTAAGGAAGACTCACCATTACTTGAAATGCACGATGGTTTGAATAAGAAATCAAGAACCTTAGAGTAAATTAAGAGAAATTGTACTTTGAATATCTATTTAGCAACAGCTGCTGATTGAAAAATCGATCGCTTTCCTAAATGTACTATCCCACTAGATGAAATGAAATGAAATGGGGTTTAACGTCTTACTGTTCTGCTCCTATACTGGGCTTATGAAGACGGGCATACGCCATACACTGTGCTATGAGGGAAATTTTGCCCGGGCAGCGGCACTATCGCCTACTCTTATATCGAATTCCAACTGCCAAGGGATCTTTTACGTGCATTCCAATGTTTACACGGGACCTCGGTTTTTCGTGTCATCCGAAGGACTAGACAGCTGTCCTTGTCAGGCCCTCCGTCCTGCATCACTGACAAGGGGAAACCACGTCGAAAAATCGGGATGAACTTTCTCGGCCAATGCAGGGATCGAACACCCGACCTCCAGCCTGAGAGCCAGCGCCTTACCCACCTAGCCACCGTGGCTCCACTAGATAAGAAGATTAACACAAAAATGTGTTGAAAATTGAAAAAGAAGCAGAGAGAATTGTCTAGAAAATAAGTGAAGTGTGTGTATGGGTGATAGAGTCCCACTCTTATTGTTCATTCGTTATTATTGATTAACTGAGATTTGATTCCATTCAGTTTACAGAACACAATGTGAGTTATGCCCAGGAAAATGGAATAAAAGTAGTAGAAGGTCCTAAATATTATTTCTTCATATCTCCTACGTGTCTTGTAGATATTTTTATTCGTTTTGGGATCTGCAAGTAGTACGCCTTTAAACCACTCCAAGGAAAAAATTATAATCATAAAATGGTATATTTGGTTTTCAGAATAGCTATACCCAATTCTTCCATGTTTCAATTTACGCTTAAATGACAAAGAAATCCTAAAATTCTGTATTTTTGCTAATAAGAATGACAAGATACAGCAGTTTTCGGTAATCGTTCTAACAATGCCAATGCAGCCATCTTATAACGATAATGAACGAAAACGAGACGTTTGAACCGGGCACCAGGGACGGTTGATCACAGGAAGAGAGGGAAAAGGTTTGACATGATGAAATTGTGGGTGATACCTGGATGCCAAGAAACGGGATTACTGCCGATCCATGTCCTGACCGCTTGACCCCTGGGAGGACCTGGATGGCAGCAAAATGTTACATTTAATTACACATTATGTATGGAAAAGCGATTTGTCGTAGGTTTTGATACACAGAGGACACTGAATGGGAAAACATCACCGACAGCAACTTTCAACTGACCGTGACCTTGAACAGTGACCTTAAAGTGAACACCAAAACCCATTCAATTACACGTGATGAGGGATGGATAAATCTTGTTGCAGATAATTCAGCACATTACATATTACCATGGACCTTATAATACATCCATAATATTACCTTAAAATACCAATGACAGCTATTTTAACCTGATCGGAAGTAACGTAGTTTAAAGGGCACATTTATTCATACATTGTGAGGGAAAGCTCGAACATTCTCAGAATCATCAAGCTAGTATGTAAGATATAAAAACACCAATGGCAGCAATTTTATCTTGACCGGAAGTGCTGCCAGCAAAATTACGTAACACAGTTCAAAGGTCACGTTTATTCATACATTGTGAGGGGAAGTTGTAATTAAAATATGTGTAATTAAATGTCAAATTTTGCTGCCAACCAGGCCCTCCCAGGGGTCAATCGGCCAGGACACGGATCGGCAACAATCCCGTTTCTTGGTATCCCCCTGCCAAACCATTTTCCTCCTTTCTCCCCTGGCGGCCGGTATAATTCTACTCAGGGCTTATATTCCATTCATTAATACGACCCAGGTCAGGCCAACTGAACTGAAAATATAATGATAATATATTAATATACTAACCCATATAACGGTTTAAATATTGTATTTCCTTGACCACAGCTAACTAAGACTTTACTACTAGTTACGTTACAATCAACAATCTCCTGTAATAATTCACCAACTCTACTGTACACTTGTATTCGAGCCTAAAATACAAACAAAACATCGGATGTATATGTGAATTGACGTGAATTAAAAGCCCGCAAAGACAGACCGTTCACATGTATCTAAGAGGTGTGCTGTTATTTTAATTAAAAGACTGCTTTTATGATCACACCAAGTGAAATCAGTAGATACCCATATAAACATCAGATGACTATAATATAACTTAGACATGATCGTCTTGAAAACAAACATTGGGACCAAAATATTTTAATAGCTCACTATTTGTGATTATGTGTAGTCTTAAACTCTATCGTTGAGGTTTTAATACAAGCGCTGCAAACAGGCTACAGGTGCTTCAATTTACCCGACAGTGTGAGGTGAAGATTTCTATTTGGTTATTTTTTGTTTTAAGTCGCGGCCACATCTTACGGTCCTTAGTTAAACGTATTGAACGTAATTAGACGTAGTTAACCGTAGTTCAACGTAGTTATAAACATAGTTTGAACTTCAAGAAACCCATGATTCGACCATGTTAGCCCTATGTTCAAAATATCTCTACCGTTATCTTGGGTTCAAACACCCTAATGTGACCGTAGTTTTATCGTACTTGACCCTACTTGACCCAGGACAACTACATAGGGTTGGAATACGTTTGAATTACGTTCACGGTACACCCATAGTACTGTTAAGTACGGTTAACTAGGGTCAACTAGGGTATAGGGACAAGTAGGGTAAAGTAGGAACCCATTCACCCTATACTTCAACCTAGTTGACCGTAGTGGCACTACGGTGAGCAACGTTCAAATGAACTACGGCCAACCACATGCGTGACCGTAAGATGTGAGTGTGACCGCGATTTTAGTCAGTTCATTCCTAGTCTTTCAATCACCATTTTGGTTCGTCAAACACTTGAGATTCAGGACCCATAATTGCAATGTTATGCACAAATTTTAGCAGGAAAGGGATTATAAGTCAGTCTACTTTACTTTAGATGGAAAGGATTTATATCGTAATTAAAATGGTTATGGATTTTATCGTAATTAGAATGTTTATGGGTTCTATCGCAATTAAATGGTCTCTATCGAAATTAAAAGGGCTATATCGTAAGTAAAAGGGCTAGATCACAATCAAAGGGATTATATCGTAAACCAGCGGCTTCCTGGCAGGATACGCCCACATTTTGCAAGAGATGGATAGAGAACAAACTAAACAAAAAGCGATTTTTCGAACATTCAAGGGCCATATCGAGTCGAACCAAGATATTTGGGTTATAAAGATATATTTCAAGTTTCATCACAATCGGATCAAAATTATGAATTCTAGAGGGCCCACAACCTTGATATACCATATATTTACACTATTTGCGTACGAGGGGTGGCCATTTTGTCCGGCAGTTCTGGTCCTATTTTCACGAATTTTAAACTCAACCATCATTAGGATGTAAGGGTGATATACTAAAACGGTTTTTCAAATCGGATAAAAATTGTGACCTCTAGAGGGACCACAAGCTTAAAACGCGATTTTTCGTACAATCAAGGACCATAATCAAGGAGCCGAGATCCTAGGGAGATAAACCTATATTTGAAGTTTCCTTGAAATCGGATAGCAATTGTGACCTGACGGACGGACGCACGGACAGGGGCGACGACAATATGCACCCACATGAAAATAATAAAAGGGTTTTATTGTAAATACAAGGGTTATATCGTAATCAAAATGTTTATATCGTAATTAAAAGGTTTATATCGTAAATAAAAGGGTTATATCGTAATTAAAAGGGATATATAACAATAAGAAGGGTGACATCGTAATTAGAAGGATGATACAGTAATCAACTTACGTTTTGTATATCATATGCGGTCAAATCGGTAGTACTCAAATAGTCAGCACCATTCAGAACTTGGAAAATATGTGAAACATTTTTTGTATCGTGGTCACCTCCGGTTGCAGGACCTTCCAGAAGTTCAGAAAACGTCTGGTGTGAATTATGCGTGGATACAGCTATGGTAAGTGTTGTAACTGAAATGCAAAGAGAAAAACATAAGTTTGTTAAATACATAGAAATTGTGAAATACATAGTAAGTAAACACACCGTAAACACCCACGTATAACGCGCCGCAATATATAACACGCACCAGTGCCGGACTGGGCCCACGGCCTAAGCTCATTAAAAAAAGTGGGCCTAAGCCTATAAAGAAAAAAAGGAAAAGAAAAAAGAAAAAAAGGAAAAGAGAAAGAAGGGGGGGGGGGAGAAAAGAAAGAAGGAAGGAGAGGACAGGACACAGGACAGGACAAAGAAAATATAGGAAAAAAATGACTGACAAACAACACAAAAAAAAAGAAGTGTACTACAAGGAAAGAACTTTATGAGTTTGACCTCATTATACCGAGAACCGTGTAATTCATCTTTTGTTTTTGACATTGAAGAGAATTCTCAAATTCATCTAATTGTATCAGGAAATCAAAAATTTGCCTTGTTCTGCTTTGGTCTGAAATGCTTGGAAAATGGGTTTGCGGTTGTCAGTTTTCAAAATTGAAAACTGCTCGCGCGCCCGTGACACGCCTGTCGGCGCGTACTTGTTTGGTCCTTGGTCAATGACCTGACAGGTGGGCCTTCGGCTCACCAGTCCGGCACTGACACGCACCCGTGTCTGATCCCGAGAATTCAGGAAAAATTGATAATCCCACATGCATACACGCAGAAAATTTTTACCGTTGTCATCAACTAGAGCACACGAATCACCCACTGTATTAATCTATCGGAACGGCAATATTGCCGATGTATAATGTTTTTATATTAGTCTCGAGGATCAGTTGGGGGGGGGGGGGGGTCCATCAAATGGGCACAAAACCAAACCCAACATGTCTAGAGTAAGGTTTTGCGTACAATACGATGCCGAGTGGTAAACAGTCCGCCCTTGGGGCGTTTTCGAGATATTCGAGGTTAAAGGTCAAATGAGGTCATTTTCACTCAACGTAAATGCGCAGCCATTCTTGTAACATGAACACATGCTGAAAATGATCGAAAGTAATCACCCTTTCAATAAAAATGTAAACATGCTAAATTCACCCTTGTTCTTTGTCACCCCGAAGGTCAAAAGGTCAAATTTTCCGTTTTTGCACTAGGAAGATTTAAAGCAATAAATGTCAGCGTAAAATACAAAATCAAAGCGGAATCTATTCTAAAAAATAATAGGAACATTTAAAATTTATGTTTAGGTGTTCTAAGTACCGAACTTTTACTTTGGAACGTCAAAAAAGATCTTGCATAACAGAACCAAAACACTTCGAAACCTGTTTCAATAATAGGTAAAAACAAATCGAAATCTTTCCGATTTAGTTTCACAACGATTGCTATACATAATGAAACTAGTTGTCCGAAAAACAAGTTTCATGGCTGGACTACAGCCTATATGCCGCGTCACGAAGCCTGCCAAACTTTTCCCCTGCAAAATTGGATAAAAATTGTGACCTCTAGAGGGTCCACAACCTTCGTATTACATACTTTTACACAATTTGCGTACAAAGAGCGGCCATTTTGTTGGGCAATTTCATTTCAATTTTCCCGAAATTCGAATTCAAACTTCATTATGGTGGAAAGGTGATATATTTAAACGGTTTTTAAAATCGAAAAAAAATGTGACCTCTAGAGAATCCGCAAGCTAAAAATGCGATTTTTTGAACAATCAGGGGCCATAATCCAGAAAGTTACGTTCAGATATGCGCCATTATCAAAAGGAACCAAGATCGTAGTGTGTAACGGTGATATATTCACACGTTTTTTTTTTAAATCGGAAAAAAATTGTGACCTCTAAATTTTGTACAATCAAGGGCCATAATTCAAGAAGTTACGATCAGATATGCGCAAATATCGAAAGGAACTAAGATTTGTGGGTTATAAACATGTATTTCAAGTTTCATCAAAATCGGATCAAAATTATGACCTCTAGAGGGTCCACAACCTTAAAATACCACACGTTTACACTATTTGCGTACGAGGGGCTGCCATTTTGTCCGACAATTTTGGTGTAACGGTGATATATTCGAACAATTTTTTTAAATCAGATAATAATTGTGACCTCTAGAGGGACCACAAGCTAAAAACGCGATTTTTTTGTACAATCAGGGGACATAATTCAGGAAGTTACGACCCGATATGCGCAAATATCGAAAGGAATCAAGATCTTTGGGTTATAAGCATGCATTTCAAGTTTCATCAAAATCAGATGAAAATTCAATCTGATTAAAATACAGATCTATATTTCGTTTCGTTTTTTTTTATACTTTCGATGGCCTACACTACATGAAGATCTGACAAGTTATAGCGATAGGTCACGTCAGGGTTCAAAAGGCCGACTTATGACTCTATGATGTCAGACATTTGATTAACCAATCAGCATTGATGTTACTAGTGGATTACCCATAGTTCCGTGCAGAACACACCTAAAGCTCGCCGTGTCAGACCGTTTCATTGGCTTATCCCTGACACCATTCAGAACACGAGTTAAATAACAACTCTTCCAGATCCAAGTGTAGTAAAGACAAGTAAAACGAAATTTTGAACTATAAAAACGAAACGAAATAGGATCTGTGTTTTAACCAGATTGATGAAAATTGTAACCTCTAGAGTGTCGACAAGCTAAAAACGTGATTTTTCGAACAATCAGGGGCCATAATCCATGAATGTTATCCCCCGATATATTCCAATATCGAAAGGAACCAAGATCTTAGGGAGATAGACCTATATTTCAAGTTTTGTAAAAATCGGTTAAAAATTATGACCTGCAGAGTGTCCACAAACAAATTGTGGACGGACGGACGGACGGACGGACAAACAGGGGCGTATAAAATTTTGCAAACTTTTAATAACGTCGTCAGATACGTGTTTTCCGGACACAGATTTACGTCGGTTTTCCCAGATTGGGATTCCAGAAAACCCCCGCGGCCGGCAGACTGGTGTCTATTCACTTTCAGTGCAAATTAACCCCTTTGGCCCTTAACCCCGAATATCTCGAAAACGCCCCAACGGCGGACTGATTACCACTCGGCATCGTATTCTACGCAAAATTTTCCTCTAGAAAGTACTGGTCTGGTTTTGAGCTCTTTTGATGGACCCCCCCCCCCCCCGCATGGAGCCCACACGTAGTTATTAAAAGGCTCTATCAAACAATAAAAGATTATCTGTACCGTTTCGTGCAAACGACATACAAGGCATAAACGACCCATTAATCTGTTAAATAATGGAGTAGATTGTGCCCCTTTTACGAAACAAATTACATAATGTAACGTAGAAAGTGCGTACCATGCTCACGAGAGATGACAGATATCCTTAAAGGGACAATAACACTCTTGCTGGCTTGACAGCTCCAGAAAAAAACAGCCTTATTCTAAGTACTAGACGTGTTAGTGTCCTACCTGTTGTGTAAATTATCCATTAAATTCTATTTTACTTGTCCAAAGGGTTCAAAAATATTTTTAAATCCAAGTCATATTTGAAAAGCTTTACGTCAGGCTTTTCAAATCATTTAGTTGAATTTTTCCAATTTTTTAAATTAGGTGTGTTAAGATGAAATTTGTATCATCAATTAATTGGAATATTGTTAAATAGTACAATTTGTTGACCAGAATAAAGATTGGGACATATTATTCAGTTACAACAAGAGTGGCATTGAGCCTTTAATAATAATTCTGTTCCGTTTCAAATAAATATCAATGGCACCAAAAAATAATCTCCATTGCCTTATCCATAAACACACAAACGAATCTTTGAAGGAAACGTCTGACAAACAGGTCTTATAAATGAAACCTATTCAAAGAGTTCTATAATAATATTACGTCAAATCAAAAATGGGCCAGTGCTTCTTTTAATGATTTTGTTATATTAAACGTCTTTTTAATAAACCGATACGTGGTATATTCATGTGATATCACTACTGTTATTATATTGATTGTCCCTGTAATACACAGTTACGTGATATATTCATGGAAAATTACTGGTTTTGTTATATTGAATATGTCTTGAATACATTCTTACGTGAAATATTCATGGAGTATTTCTGGTGTTGTTATATTAAATGTCCGTGTAAATGCACCGTCACGTGATATTCATGGAAAATCACTGGTGTTGTTATATTAAATATATCTGTAATACATGTTACGTGATATATTCATGGGATATCACTAGTTTTGTTATATTAAATCTCTCTAATACACCGTTACGTAATATATTCATGGGATATCACTAGTTTTGTTATATTAAATATCTCTCTAATACACCGTTACGTGATATATTCATGGAAAATCACTGATGTTTGTTATATTAAATATCTCTCTAATATACCGTTACTTGATATAGTCATGAACTTTTACTTCTGTGGTTAGATTAAACATCACTTTGCGTGATATATTCATGAAATATTACTAGTTTTGTTACATTAAATGATATAATCATAGAATATCACTGGCGATTCTAGGATGAGTTCACAGAGTTCTAACGTTAATTTCACATATTTCTACTTATATTACACATATTTCAATAAATATCGAGCTAGTTTATCGATTTGTATTTTACAGAGCGGTAATAATAATTCATAAACAGCGAATCCAAGCAGACAAAAGGAAATTTTTTACTCGCGGTTTTTTTTTAAAAATGTATTAGTTAAAATAAATCGATTGGTAAATAACTCGAGCCCTTGGTTAACGTCGCGTTTTACTCCACACGATAATATGAAAAGAAATAATCGAAGGTACACAAAGAAAATACCAACGCTTGACTGAAGACACTATATCCTGTATTGATATTCTCATCTTATTATATTTTTTATATAAGTGTGTTATTAGCTCTAAATGATAATGACATTAGGCCAGTGTTCTCTCAAATAAAATAATGGAAAAATATTATTTTTGATTTTTGCATTCAGTCAAAATAAAAATTGAATAATGTGAATATTGTCTTTGAATTTATATCCTGAATCTGTATATTCATAGTACCGGTAATAAATTAAAAGATTTTATAGTTT